TCAGTGTGTTCTATCTTGTGCTTCCTGTTACATTCCTGATACAGCATTTCTTGACCATGTATTTCATCCTATGCTGATCAAGGTTTATTCTTGTGTTCGTTGTAGATATTGGATTTTTTTTTCTTTACTCAAATTCATGTGATGTATGCCCTTGGGAAGCTCAGTTTAAAGACTATAGCTGCTGCTGGATAAAATTCCCTTTTCTACCCAGTCATGCAACTCAATTGGACAGACACTCAGGGAGTTTAACACATTGTGTTATGAATTCACACATAAGGGAATGTTTTTTTCCCATTTTACGGCATGTTGGCCCATAGCAAGGTCAGCCTCACTAGATTCTCTTTTGCAGTTACATGTTCTTTGTCAGCTCCATAGGGAAAGCACTCATTTGGGTTTCAAAACATGACATGTGTATGTCTGGGGGGGGGAGAGAGACATCCAGATTTTTTAAAAAAAAAATCTTTCCAGCCTAAGGAGTTCCAAAATGAGTAACATTGACAGATATGCTTTATTGCTAAATTATTTGAACAGAAAGAGGGTTTATAAAGAAGAAAATATTAACTTTGTCACATATGTATTTATTTTATTGGTTTCATTTACAGTCAACTGTAAATCTAACACTTGAGGTTGTTTATAGCAATTAAAATACAAGTAATAAAACAGAATAAATATAATGCAATTAAATTCAATATATATCCCATAGATTACACATTCCATAGGAAGAAAATCGTCCCTGCTGTGCCAAAAAGGTGAGCTTTTGGCAATGGGAAGGATTCAAGGATTGCATCATGCTGATAAATGGGCAGGTTGATAGTCCCAAAGGTGATCCTTCAGATTGCCAGTCTCCAAGCCATTTAGAGTCACTATCTTATGCCTAGTAGGCATAAATAAGTAGTCCTGTACAATACTACACTTAGTACAGGCATCATTTCTATGATGCTTTGATACCTAGTATAACACTCCCCAACTGAAGGGATATAACTGAACAAATGTGGGCAGCAGAAGACTGAAGAAGGTTCCCTTGCTCATACCTATTGAGATATCCAAATTAATTCATCAGTATTTTCATGTACAAATACTGGGATGTACATGAAGAGAATATATTTCCTGTGATTCTATCCTAATGGATGTTAATACTGTATCTGAGTCATAATTGCCAAAAATTATCAAATTAGAGCAGAAAATTCTGCTCTAAAGAGGACTAAGTCAAGGACAGTCCATAATCACATTATTGTGCATTCATTGTCCAAGTGAGAGCGACTCTAACAATAACTATTTAAATGCTTTCATAGAGAAAAAGTAGGAAAAAACCATCTGGCCTACTCAAAGAAGGAATGGGCATGACTAAATTCCCTACATATTGTTAAATAATCTATCCAGCATGGGTAATGATAAAAAAGAGGGGCACCTGCAGTTCAAGAATACCAGAAAGGGTACTTATTACCCATTGCTGTTGTAAAGGGTGATTAGGGATACTTTATTGTTAAAGGGAAGTCCAGCCCAATTTATGATCAAGTGAGATTATCCAATGCTTTGCAATCTATCTTCCATACTTCTATTGCCGAGCAAGAAACAAAATCATAAATATGTCTGGCTCAGAGAGACTTTTAGAAATGGCTATCTGATAACTTCAGTGAGCCAAGGAGAAGATAATGATGCAGGCAGCCTTTCTTGTTCTTCTTCGTTTTTTCTTGGATTTATACTCTCAGGTGCAATTCCCAAGTGACCTTGGAAAGCTAATCCATTGAACAGATCTAGCCCATCCATAAAAGTTCTGAGTCTTTAAAAAGTTAGTTCAATCTAAAGAAGAACTCTGCTACCTGCATTGCCACTGTTAATGGCTTAGTCTGTTATGTTAAAAATTGAAATAAATGTTCTTTCTCTTACAAGAATATAAGTTGTACAATCCTAATGTTAAATTGTGTGCTGTGTTTTATGCTGTGTAGGGAAGGAAGCCAACTTTGTCGATCCTTGATAATGGTGTGGCCTGATAGCAGCCACAAAATTCTATTGGCAAAACCAAATAATTCATCTTTTAACTCTTGTCATTAACTTTTGTCCTGACAAGAAAAATAGCAAAGGATGACTACAAATACAGTCACATTTCCAAGGGCTTCCTTTAGAAATCTTTGGAAATAAATACCAACAGTTCACATTGTGCTCTTGATCTCCTCTTATTCATTTCAATGTGGCTCATGAAGAAAAAAAAAAATTCCCCTATCTGGTAATATGGGTGATGGAACAACTTCCACTACTGAGCAGAGAATAGCATTTCCTGATATGCAAGTCTGCATAAAACATATGCCTCATTTATATTAGGTCATTCAAACATATGACATAGAGATAAATAATACATTTCATTCAAAAAAGACAATCAAAAAGCCAAAAAGGAAACAAAGAGTACAAAACACTTCCTCACCAATAATCAACACCCAGGTGAGCAGACATTAATATCAAACACTAGACTTACAATTAAGAAATAAACAATAGCCCAATTAAAAAACCACCAACTCAGACAAACAAGTTAACAGTAAACAACAGACTAATCTAATCAAGAAACCGACAAGACCACTCCCACCATCACTGACAGGGGAAGCCACTAGTATATAAAATGAGCACAAACCCTACTCCCTTCTAGCATTGATGATGTTACCTGGTTTGATAATGAAACGTCTGCTAGAAAACAACAAAGCTAATAGAGCACCAAGGATCTCACTCTTATGCCTCTGTAAGCTAGCCAGCATGGACTAATATACTATGCAAATGATTTTCCACTTCTAATAATGGAAAAGGAGTCAGCCCAGAGCAGTTGGTATGCCAATACACACACAAATAAAAACAGCTTTATTTTCAAGTTTCTACAAGCAAAGCTCTTCTCAGGGTTTAGATTTTTCATAGTCCAGTGATTAAAACTGTGATACAAGACTGTTCAAGTTTGCAAAATTTATAACGAAACATTATCTGTTAACAGTGTCAGGAACAAACAAAAACTCATCTCATTTATATTTTTCCCAGTGTAATTATTAATCTAAATCTTGTTTATCACCGCTGATTTCAGTTTGAAAGACTGAATTAAATCTACATGCAGGACCAGACATTTAGTCTTCCAAGCTTTTGGACTCGTGCTGGAGCTAATCTTCAGGGAACTTGTTTCTACCAGAATGTGTGTTTTGGGCTAGACTATGCATAGTATTTATCGGGTGCCTATTTGTGTGTGGCTTTTTAGCTGTTGATTGGGGTGTTGATGGTTGGCTATTAAGTCATTGGCTGTTGTTTCCTTGTGCTGCCAAATCTTCGATTCCTAAGTACCTGATAAGCTGGTGGTAAATCAGCATTCCTGATGACTGACAAGGGGCCTGTTTCCAGGCCTCCGTTATTTTCCTGGCTATTTTTGTACCTGCTCGGTCAACAATCTTAGTGACTGCAAAATTGAATGTATGTCCTTGTTCATTGTAATGGGACGCTACCAATGAATTCAAGTCTCCTTGTTTTTGACCACTCTGTGTTCTTGCAATCAGGTGGTTAGCTTCCTCCCTATCTATCTTACATAGTCACGGGGGCAATCCAGGTAGGGGATCTGGTAGATTACATTAGAAGTATCTCCCACCTCCAAGCAATCTTGTCAAGGCATGATTTGTCCTCGTATGGTAACCTCTGGGTGGTGTGCGATGCACAC